ATGTCAGTTGGGGGCCACGTTAGTGAGGGGTTGGTTTTTCTTTTTTGCTTCTCCCTTGTGTGCGGCCCCAGACTGATTTCTCTGTGGGTCAGCGGCCCCTGACCCCAAAAAAGGTTCCTCAGCCCCGCTCTGGTATCTGGCTCCCAAGTGCTCTTTTTCACTTAGAACTTGCTTTGGAAAATAATGAAGGTACCTGGCCTCAGTCAGTTGGGGGCCACGTTAGTGAGGGGTTGGTTTTTCTTTTTTGCTTCTCCCTTGTGTGCGGCCCCAGACTGATTTCTCTGTGGGTCAGCGGCCCCTGACCCCAAAAAAGGTTCCTCAGCCCCGCTCTGGTATCTGGCTCCCAAGTGCTCTTTTTCACTTAGAACTTGCTTTGGAAAATAATGAAGGTACCTGGCCTCAGACGTGTCCTGGGATCCACAGCTGACAGTGCGACCGTGCAGAATCATGTCCTCCTTTGCTGATGATTGCTGCATTTTGGGGTGTGGAGGCAGAGTCCCATCTGCCTTAAACACACATTAAAATATCCTTGAGGTTCCCATCACTGTGAGCTCAATTTACCTACCTCAATTTACTTGGCTTGGCTCACTTTTTCTTCTAACCGGCTCCATAATTCCCACCCCCATCCCTGTGTCTGTCTTGTGGCGGGAGCCAGGCACGGATGGAGTTCAATGTGGTTGAAGATGTTTGAAGAAATGAATCAGGGAGAAACATCTGGTTATTATTCAAGCTTTGTCACGGCCATGGTAGTAAATAGCTGTTAGTTACTGTCCATAGGGATTTCTGTTGCAGAGCTAGCACGTGGCCGAGTGGATCCCCTCGCGGCTGAGCTGGTTCATCAAACGGAGCCGAGTACATTGGCACCTGAATGCTGCCTGTTCCTCAGCTGCCTTCTCTTGTCCCCACCTAGCAATGTACAAGTGACACACCAGAGCAGGGGCCCCTGTGGCTAGGAGCCACCCTGGGTGTGTGCTCGGCCCATTCCTTCCAATGCTCTTGCTGGGCAGCAGTCGCTGTCAGCCAGCAGCTGCCAGGGGGAGGGTTGAAGCGACTTGCACTGGGACCAGAGAGGGCAGGGCACGATGTTTAGCTCGCAGGTCAGATTTAGGCCTTTGATACAGGCACCTCTGAACAATTGCTTTTGCCATCCCATGCCTGTCTGAGCAGATAGAGACCACATGAGAACAACCTACAAACACCCAGCATTAAAGGGGTGGTGGTCAGAGTCAAGGAATCTTTTACGAGCACGTAGAATGGATGAGGAGAACAATTTTTCAAGAGGCTCAACTTGACTTGCATTCCTCTGGCAATAGAGATTGCCAAAACGTCCGCAATATTCCCGTAGAAATCCAGCAGTCCATCACGCCTCATTACAGCATCCAAACGCCCATGTGATCGTTGGAGAGAAAGGATCTCTTTATAGCTGGGGCAGGGTTTTTTTGGGTTGGATGTGTTCTGTGAGGGGGAAGGAAGGAATGTGATCCTGTTTCTCTTTTCACAGTGTTTAGATCATTGGAGCTGGTTGTACGCTGCATTACTTCACAAGCTGGGTGAAACTTTAGCCTGTAATACTATAGTCCTCCAGGAGCTTTCTGTTGGCTTTAGATGCTTTTATTAAACTTTGCAGAGTCTTTATCCTACTTAGTAAAGGATGGGAAAGTTAACTAATGCCTCCTGAGGTATGGTCTTTGAAGAGGACTAGGAAGCAGAATGTTTGTTGTGTGTTAGGTGTAATGAGATACTGGGATTGTTCAGGCGCCTTTTTTTTTTTTAAACAGGGAGAGCTAGATAGTGCAAACAGTTTCTTGAAATGAGTGAGGCTTCAGTGAACCCTTTATTCTACGCTTCTCAGGGTCAGAAAGATTGATCTAGTTATGACCTTGTGAAGAGATGATGTCAGGTCTGCTCAGTCTGGCACAAGGAGCTCATAAACCTGTCTACAAAGGCTCTCCAGTCCTTGCTACATTCTACCTTGAGCCAGCTAAGGCTGTAGTGCAGGGGTCTCCAACCTTTTTAACCACAAGATCGCTTTTCTGTTTAAGTGCAACGTAAGATCTGCCTCAAACCCAAATACCCCTACCCCACTTCCTTCCTGCCCTTTCTTTGAGGCCCTGCCTCCACCCCTTCTCCGAGGCCTCACCCTGCTCACTGCATCCCTCTTCTTCCCCCATCTTCACTCACTTCCACCAGGTTGGGGTTGGGGCTTGGGGTGCAGGCTCTGGTCTTGAGCCAAGGGATTTGGAGTGTGGGAGGGGCTCCAGGCTTAGCCCAGGGCACGGTATTGGTGTCCAGGAGGGGGTTCAGGGTGCAAACTCTAGTAAGGAGTTTGGGTGCAGGGGGATTCACATCTGCGGCAGGGGTTGGGCAGGAGGTTGGGTGCAGGGGGTGGTTCAGGGCTGGGATGGGTTCAGGATGCAGGCTCTGGCTGGGCACAGTTTAACTGAGACTGCTTCCAGGTGGTGGAGCAGTGGGGTTAAGGCAGGATTACTCCTGCCCTGGCCCTGCACCATTCCCGAAAGCAGCTGGCATGTACAGCAGTGGCTCCATGGCACCATGTGATGCCCCATATCTACCAGCACTGAGCCTACAGCTTCTACTGGCCATGGTTCCCTGTTACTGATCAATGGGAGCTGCAGGAGCAGTGTCTACAGGCAAGGACAGCATGTGGAGACCCCCTGCTCTGCCTCTCTCAGGCCCTGCAGGATCACGCCACCCACTTCAAGAAGCAGCAATTGCCACAGGGATGATGACTGCAGCCATGACATGAGACATTTTAGAACTCACTCCTTACAGAATTAAATGTAGGCGTAAGAAAGAAAGGAAAGTTATGAAATGTACAGGCCAGTCAGAAACCAAAACTAACCCACTTTGCCAGCACTAACAGAAGTAACAAGAACCCCCCACGTATGTGTTGGGTCGGGAGAGGAGAGTGAAGGGCAGTTGGTGTTTGTGAGAATGTCACTCACTGTGTGTGTGTGTGTGTGTGTGTGTGACACTGATTTGCATTGCCAAGCTCTCTCCCTCCCCTTTCTCTGCGGAGATAGGGTACACAAGTGGGGGGAGGAGGGGTACCCTGCCATCAGCACCTCTCCTCTTCTCTTTCCCACACCCTGCACAGCGAGCAGGAGGCTCCCACGGAGGCAGCTCTAAGGCAGAGGGCAGGAGCAGCATGACAGTGGGTGGAGGGGCAACTGACGTGCCAGCGCTTGATCCTGACTGGTTTGGCCGGGAAGCTATCACCTGTCAGAGGCTCCAAGATCAACCTGTAGATCCCGATCCACTGGTTGGTGACCACTGCTCTAGAGCAAACAGGCTTTCCCTTCGACTTCAAATTCCTATATATAGGGAGCTAACTGGTAGTTCAACTCTGTAGGGTCAGTTAGGAGGGTGGGCAAATTCTCTCTGTTCTCTCTCCTCTCCCCTTTCTTTTCTGTTTTAGACATGGATGATTTTCGTAAAGCGTTGACTCATTTCATAGAATAGGCAGTGGGGCTTAAGCACCTGTAACTAGACGTATGCCAGTTGATTTGATACGGGAATCTGTTTGGTGAAATTAAGAAAAGCACATTTTAAACTGATCCGAAGAACAAAATCGGAAGCATCCTATTAAGCCGTGGAATAATCTTATGTAGAGCAAACGAGACATTCCCTAATGTGGATAACTAATTAGAGCAATGGATAATAGTGTATCAAGAATAATCCGTGACAGGCAGAGGAGATGACCTAGACTTATGCTTTTTCTCAGGCCTGCAAATGGGGAAAGAAGGGGACAGTTGCCCCTGGGCCCAGCAATTGAGACGAGCCCAGGGCTCCTAGGCAATGCTGCTGCCACCGGAGCCCTGGGCAGTCGGAACGGCGCCGAGGGCTTGGCTCCCCGAGCCCTGCCCCTTCTGCCTGAGGCCCCGCCCCTTTCAGAAGCTTGGATCCAGCTCCTCCCACCTTGCTCAGGGGCCCAGCCCCCCCCCCCCCCAATCTTTTCCATCTGAAATCTCCTGAGAGCCCAGTTATGAGGCTCCCAGGATCTCAACTTAGCTTTCCCTGCCTGGATTCCCTGATGTTCGGAAGGGAAAGAAGCTACTCCAGGTGCTCAAGGAAGTAAACGCTTAGCTTAATTTTCAGCCACGTAGTTGCAATCCATAGAAGTGCCTCTACTTCTGAAGAGTGCCTGGCACAGTGGAATCCATGTTTGGTCCACTGTGTAACATTCTTAGTATTCATACGCACACAGAAATGTAAGTCAGGAGGGGACCCTGTGCAGCCATCAAGTCCAGGCCTTGCACAGAGGCAGGACAAGTGCACTTAAATGATCCTTGAAACGTGGTGTTTAAGAAAAGGCCCAGCCTGTTCTTAAGAATCTCCAGGGATGGGGATTTTACAACCTCCTTTGGAAGCCTGTTCCAGAGCTTGACAGCTGTGCTGGGTGTGGCTGGTTTTGTAGATGGATTTTCCTCCAATGTAATGCACTGAATTGTGTTTCCTCCCACTTCAGTGAAAGTCCTCATGGAGAGACAGCATCAGCAGAAGATTCAGTTCAGGATCTAGCAGCTGAACACCACACCAGTGATGATGGTACGTGAGACATGTTAGCTGTCCAGAAGTGTGGGGTGAGGATGCTGTCTAAATTCCAAGTGCCAATAATCTGTGGGGGAACTGAATTAGAAAAGCTGTTTGCACCAGCCACCAAAAGACTTAGACCAACTGTCATCCGGAAACTTTCAAAAGTCCTGTACAAACTTCCTGTTTTCCAGAGGTGCCTTCCCACAGCAGCAAGCTTAGACAGACTCATGTCTTACACAGTGTTGTGCAGGGCTTTTTTCCCGCCTGTTGTTCAGACGGGTCTTTGAGCTGGGGAGCATGAGCTAAGCAGAAAGCCAAACAGCGAACAGGTCTGTGCCTGCTCCCCCGCTCCCCTCTGCATGTGCTTGTGCCAGGCTTCTTTCCTTTCAGTGGCCTTGGCAGGCAGCAGCATGTCGGTAAGTTCCAACAGCTTTATTTAAAACAAGCAAGTGAAAAGCCTGCCTGCCTTGTGTCTGCGAGCCAGTCTCCGGCACAGGGAATCCCTGCTGATGCTTGGTTTCTGCTGGGCATCTCCACTACCCTTCTCTTGGCCTGAGTCATTAAGAGGGGATCCTGGCCTCGTACCACTAAGCAGCCTGTACTTGACTTGTCCAGCTGACTGCTGATGCTCCCAGCCCTAGGCAGGGTTCAGAAAGGAAGAGACAGCACAGCCCCTAACTCATTGATTCCAACCTCTGATTGGTGAAAATGCCCCCTTGTAGGGATTGGGGGAAAGCATGCACGTGAGCTCCTTGCAGAGCCGCGCAGGAGGGCAATTGTCCTTCCGCACCAGTGCATCCCAAAGTGCAACTGCCCATCCCAAGTAGCAAAATGGACTCGCAGCAGTGACTGATACCAAGCTGATCAAAGAGCAACACACATGCATTGTGCTGCTATGCATCTGCCGGTTGTAATTGTTCTAGAGTCCACCTCTGACAACAGGAGCTGCACCTTCTTCCCATGACAACATGACTCTTTTCAGTGTGATTGCTTTGCCTATACTTCCCCCTGCCATCTTCGTATCAGTGGTTAACCAGCAAGCCAATCCCATGGCGTGGACATGTTCATGTTGGCTTAATGTCGCTCGGATATAAAAACTGTCAGAAATATGGGAGGTGGAGGCGGGGGACTAGTTCTTCTTCCAAGGGAAAAACACAATCAGTCAAAGGTTTTTTTTAAATTAAGCTTGTTGAGGAGATGACAAAGTATATGGGTGTAAAATGATGTGACTCTGGTGTCCCCCTTTAAACATCTTCTTCCTCTGGAAAGTCCCAGCCCCTTTGGAAAGCTTGGGAAAACATTTCTCCCTGGGTTATTTACCTACCCAAAAAGCGTCATCACTCAAATAAAAGACTGACTGTGTGGCCTGTTTACCCATAACTAGAATGCTGTTTGCTGACATGCTGATGGGCTAATGTTCTTTGCTGGGTTTTGAATGCTGTTATTGAACTGTTTGTGTAGCAAAAGGGCGCGGTGATGAGAGAGCGAGTGGTTATGGGCTAGAGATGGGATCCAGCCCAAGTTTGGTTTTGAGATGCTGCATGCAAGATTAGATCAGTGTTCGCTTGGGATGACTTCTCACGCCCCGTGTAGTGTATGTGGAGGGAGAGTTTGGCACCTGAGAAGGGAGGAGCCACTGTGCCTTGGTCACTTCTGAGGGGTCAGGAGGGTTTTGTAAAATGGGAGAGAAACGAAAGGTGCCTTTTGGTAGTGTTGGGGAGCTTAATTAGATCCCCAAGATAGATTCTTGAGAGTTGTCTTGGCAGGCCAGCTGGTGAAGGTGGCCAGAGACGTACTAGGTGAGTGGTGCTGGCAGAGCTGGGTCTCTGCTCTGCTGTACACAAAATGGCACCTTCAAGGCTAACTTCTGAGCGGTACCACACTGAAGTTGAAGGGATTCAAACCCTCTCTGGATTTGCCACCCTAGTCTGAGGGAAGAGGTTGAAGAGCTTTGGATGCAAGCTCTGGGCACAGACCCAAGAAGCAATCCAGACAAAGTGAGGCTGTCATCCGAGGCCTGCCCAGTAGCATAGGCAAGGTTTGCACAGTAGGCCCTTTCACGCTTAGTTGGTGGTTGAGTCTGTTTCTGGATGTTAGGTGCTAGAAGTTGATCCATCACTCATTCAATTAGCCCCTCTCATCCCACAGTCCCCTTGGTGGCTTCAGCATGCTACTCATACAGTGGGTCTAGCAACACATGTGAGCCTGGAAAATACGTGGCCACTGATATCTGGAGAAGTTCTTTGAGGGGCAGAATCCTTGTTCTAGAACAAAGCTGAGGCTTCTAGCATTGCCATTCTGTGAACTTGCCACGTGATGTTACAGTGATCAGACACTTGAGGGCTGGGTCTGGCACATATAGATCAGTCATACAGTCAAGGGACATATAATGAGGAGTACTGTGATACCTTGGAGACTTAAGGCATAATGTTCACTAAGTCTTGAATCGGTGGGGAGAGATTAAACTGCTGCTCTCCCTCACAGATTTTAAGATAGGAGTGGTAGTAGTGTTTGGCTTCGTCTTTGTGTCTTGATTCCCTGTGCTTGGAGCCTGAGCCCAGTAGGGCAGCAATACTGGAAATCTGAGTCTAAAATCACTTGTCTGGCTAAAAGCCAGTGTCCTAAAGGGCAAATCGGAAATGTAAGAAACCGTAGAGCAGTGCTCATTTGGAATAATAAACAATTGTTAATGGAACAAAGATGAAACTTACCAAAAAAAGAATCTCAGGCTGTCACTTATAATAAAATGCAGAAAGAGGACCATTAACTTTTTTAATGGTACGAATGAACTGGTTCCAATAACCAAATAAGCAAGAGGAAAGGGCTGAAGCAGACAACCACATGCTCAAGGGAATCTGGACTGAGGAAATATAAGCTTTCCAAGCTGAAAACAAGTGAGCTATTTTTCACCAGTGCAATCACCTTGCAGGCTATTGAGGAAAGACGACGGGAATTGAGAGGTTTTTCTCTCCCTAAATACTAATGAAAACTCCTGCTTGCCAGCACAGGTTTTATTTAGCTGTCTTTGAAGAAATTTACTCTACATTTCTTTTGTCCCTGAGAGCTTCCTGGTTTTGGTGACCTTTGATTTGGGTTGTGGGTTTTCCTTTTCTGTTTGTGTTTTTCTTTGCTGTGGTGAGAGATTTCAAGGTAGAAAATGTGGCTATGGAAAGCTCAGTCCTACCCCTGATGGGTAGCCCGTGTCCGTGCTGTGGTTGTACGTAAGGTACGTGCAGCAATGCCTATGTGCCCCAGTGAAAAGCAGGCTGTGTCCTCACTGCTGTGCATAGCTATATAGAGCAGTGAAAGGCTCTGGTGAGGGTGGTTAGGAGAGGCAGCAGAGAGAGGCTCTGTCTTTCTGTGGCAGGAGCCTTTCTCTGGCACAAGGAGAGGCTGTGGCATGGAGATAGCAGCCCGGAACAGCTTCAGGAGCAGAGAGGGCAGTAGAGGCTGTAAATGGGTTTGGTTTTGTTTTGTTTTTTTAAAAGCAATGTAGGTGTGGGAAGCCCTGCCTAGGAGTGCTGAGAGCCATGTAGGAGGCATACACTAAGATTGAGATATGCCTGCTCTACCAGCTTAAGCAGTGCCTCACGGTCCAGCAATGCTATTTATACCCGTGCTAGGGAGGCATGCGATCTACCTACCCCACACCAGACCTAGCCCTGGAGAGATGGATGTTGGAGTGCCTTGTACCTTGCTTGTGATGGAGTGATGCTTTGTCCCAGAGGTCCTCTAATTGTGGCTCTGTAGCTCGCACCCATTACTGAAGGATTCAAGGGAGGGATTTGAACTCATGAACCCTTTTCCTTTCTCTCTCCTAGAGTGTGAGCCGATAGAAGCAATAGCCAAGTTTGATTACATTGGCCGAACGGCACGAGAGCTGTCCTTCAAAAAAGGGGCTTCTCTCCTTCTGTATCATCGGGCCTCAGATGATTGGTGGGAGGGGCGGCACAACGGCATTGATGGCCTGATCCCTCACCAGTACATTGTTGTTCAAGACACGTATGTTACATCGGCAGCGATCGGGCGGAGGGGGGTTGCAGAATGCCTGCCAAATTTGGGTCCCGTTAAATCTTCTTTGGGCAAGAAGAATTTCTCAGACCTGTGGCTCTACATTGTCATGCCCAGGCCTGCACTGAATTGGGAGCGAGTCCTGATCCTACCAGCAGTTCTGTGCAGGAGCAATGCCATGGAAGTCACTGGGGTTTAGTACCAGATTCCACCTGTGCTGAGCTTTTGTAGGTTCAGCGCCTTGGTCGTCTAACAATGATATTTGAGTGCTGAAGTGACTTGCCCCCCTGAGAAACCTCAGTAATTTGGAACCAAACTTGTCCCTCACCACAGAGTGATGATAAAAAGGGGTGGAGTTGGCGCAAGAGAGTGTTCTGACAACTAACTTTGTGTTTTTGTTGGTGGTTGCCTTCCTTTCCTCCATAGCGAGGATGGTTCCTCGGAAAGATCCAGCCCCAAGTCTGAAATAGAAATCAATTCTGATCCACCTGAAGAAAAAGTGACAGCCAGAGCCGGTGCCAATTGTCCGAGCGGGGGTCACGTCGCTGATATCTACCTTGCAAACATCAACAAGTAAGAACAGTCTGGTGTTTTTCTGCGTAATGCAGAGATCTTGGTGCTGAACATTTTAGGACAATGTAATCTTGAGAGGCACAGGAACAAGTGGTACCACTTTCTCTGTTTCCTCCTTCCTAGACCTCACTATATCCCACCACTCCCTCTCTAGCTCCCTATTTCTCCAGCCTGGCCTGCTGCCACCTATTCTCCCACCTACTTTCACATCATCCTCTGCGCTAAGCAGATGAAACAGTGAAATCCCATAGTGTACACATTAACATTTATACATGCTAGTATGTGTATGTCATATATGCATAATTGCATTTCCGATTATTTGTTTATGCTAGAGCATGAAGATAGTAGAAAATAATGTACTGAGGGTAGCAGCAGGCAAATGGCGGGGGAAGGGGGGTGGAAGAAATTAGGGGGAAGATGAATTAGGGACTCTTAATGATGCTTTGGAGAATACATATGAGGTGGAGCAGAGCATGGTATGATGATAGAATAATGACCAGCCGAAGAAGCATGACAGGGAGAGGCTATCAGAGGATACAATGAGAAGACTCTGTCAAGAGAAATTTGAAGAGAAAAAAGGGATTTTCTAAGAGCTACAAACCTATGCCTTGGAAGAGGAGTGCTCAAGAATTAAGGGCACTTCCAATTCTGTGCAAACTAGAACAGAAGTCAAGAACTGATGAGTTAGATCAACAGAGAACAAAGCCTTTATGAACTGTACAATCACATAGGCGGATGGACCCATCCTGCCCAGAAAAGCTTATAGTGACTTGGCTTTGTAACCCCCTTTCTCTTCTTCCAACCCCGTTGCTATAATTTGGTGAGTCGTCTTTAATGTTTAGATGATTTTCTTGTTAGGACAGGGATTGGGTCTTTTTATTGAAAAATGACTCTTGTTAAAGACAGTTAGCACAGTTCTAGTTGCTCTGCAATACTAATGAAAGAAACCTCCTCTGTTCCACTGCCTCAGCCATCCAGAATGTCTCATTTAGCTTACACTTTTACCCAGAGGGAAGGTACTATGTAGATAAAGTGTTTTTGAAGTAACAACTCTCCTCACGTCATCTGTTCAGCAAAAAATTGTTACAGCAGCCTAAGGCCAAGTTGATGAAAATCTGAAAAATGAAACTGGGATGAGATGAAATGTGTCACTTTTAGTGTTGATAGATTTTTTTATTTTTTTTTTAGGCAGAGTTCTCCCCCAGATCTTTCAGATTGTTTCTTTATTATAAAATAGCATGCTGTGTTAACAGAATATGTCTTTCTCTGCAGGAGATCTCTGTGCCCTAAGGCTACAACTATAATTATAATTGTGATAATTATAATTGTCATAGAACTCAATGAAAATATCAACCTTTAATTAGCCTGACAGGGAAGCTAAGGCAAAGATAGAAAATAACTTTGTTTGCTACTGCTTGTATTAAATAATGAGCTGGATTCTCAGTTGATGTGAGTTAGTCCAGCTCTGAAATCAATGAAGTTACATCACTGTGCACCATGTTAGGGTCTGACTTTTTTCTATGAGCCATTAGAATTCAGACTGGTACCAGTTATGGAAGGATTTGTACAGTGAGCAGATGGATTTTGGAGGTTCATCATCTATTATGGACATTGCACCCAAAAGGGAGAGCTCCTAGGATATGTTGCTACCAGGGCTTAGTTAAGCTTAGCTAGTGTGGGTTTTGTTTCTTTTCAAGAAGGGTATATTCTGCTCTGTGCACAAACAGATTAAGACAGAACAGATCAGATGGTTTCACTGTAGCGATTGTGCCACCCACTGACTTATTTTTCTGATGCCAAACTCCAGCTGGAATTAGAACTTTGTGGCAGTTTCTCACAGGGCCTAGGCTATATATAAAGAATCCTCTTTAATGGATACAAAGGTTCTGCTCTGTTGCTTGACACACTGCTGTTACAATGACCATATATCATTGTCTTGGAGTCATGCTTTCAGACTGCATGCTACTGGATGGAGAGCTGTGATTTTTGCCCGTTGACCTATTTCACAGCACCCTGTATATCTATAGCACTATATACTTGTTGTTATGGTTGTCTGCAGTATTGAGAAGATGCATTTACTTATAAATGGGAAACGAGTATTCTTAACCCAGCCATACCTGTGTTGCTGTAATATCTTGCCTCTGGCCCAGAGTTTGATGAGACTTTCTACAGTGCCCCTCAGCCAAAAATAGGAGCTCTGCTGTTCTGCTACCATGGAAACAGACAACCAGACTAGCGGAGGGGACACAATTATTTTTGTTGAAAGTACAAAGGCTTTGTTTTGTAACCATAATCTATAGAGTTCCCATTCAGTCTTTTGTTTTTATTACGTGTGTCACGATGGTGTTTTGTGGGAGTGACAGCCAGGCCAGCTATAGATTTCTTCCAACTATATCATCTCTGGGGACTTGTGCATTGAGGTACGCCTCCCCCCAAACACCTTCGTGTAGTGATGACTTGTTTTGCTTCTGTGCTTTGAAGGCAAAGAAAGAGACCAGAGTCAGGCAGCATCCGAAGAGCGTTCCGGCAAAGCGACAGCCACGGACCAACTAGTTCCCTGATAGAACCGGCCTCCCCAGGACCCACAACTAGTTCTAGACCCTCATCTCAGCCTGTTATGAGCCAGAGCCTCCCCAAGGATGCAGCAGATAAATGCTCCATCAGCGGCCATGGCAGCCTCAATTCTATCAGCCGACATTCGTCCCTGAAGAATAGGATAGAGAGCCCGCAGATCCGTAAAACTTCAACTACAGGTCGGTCAAAGAGTTTCAATAACCATCGGCCCATGGATCCTGAGGTCATTGCACAGGTAAAGGGGATTGCTGGGCATGAAGGGTGCAGCAAAGTTTCTCTTCTGTACTTCAAAGGGAAGAGTTTCAGGATTTTCAAACTTACCAAACCCCTTCTGAGTAAACTGCTCCTTAATGAGGTGCCTCTCTCCTTCAGGCTTGTGGAGAGGAAGTGCACGTCAGCAATTTACAGATTCATAGACAGATGCTGGATCCCTGTGCTTGTCACTCACTCCTCCGCATAAGCAGCATGTGTAGCCACTCAGCTAGTTATTCCCCTCAATGTCTCATAGCGGTTCTTGCACAACAGATGCAGTAGGCTTGCGTGGGCGATAGAGAGAAGTGGAGAGGTCGCAGATAAGCGCATTTCAGAGTTCGGCTTTTGGGGGGGTTGACACAGCATCTGTTTCCGCTGTCACTTTTCTTAATGTATATGTGTCTGTGAGATGCAGGTTGTATGCTATTTATTGGGATATTTATTTATAACTGGTAGGGCAAAGAAGCAAGAATTTGTGCAAATACCGGTCTTTGACTACTCATTACAATGCAATGTTTCACATTCAAATTTTGGCTTAGTTTTGCAACTTGTATTATTTGCATTGTGTTAATGAATTATTGACCCTCTACATGGCTTGACTCTGAGCCTGTAGCCTTACATCGGGTAAGTCAGTGAGACTACTCAATGAGTACAAATAAATGGATGAATCCCGTACTACATAGGAACTCATGCACATTTATTTTTTATGTTCTATAGTTTCAAAGGTTCCAGGTGTGTCCATGACCAAAAGTTAAACTCATATTTCAAAGCCGTGAGCAAAATATGATATCCATACTCCAGATCATGATGAAAGCAGGGTACTAAATGTCATTTTTAAACCCTTCAACCCATTGAGCAAGCTTGTTTGACTGTGGGTACATGTTAGAGGCATATGAACTCATGTAACCACGTGCCCCATTCTTCTATTTTCACAATGCTGTGTGCTAGTATGTATAGATTTCAATGTGTGGTAAGAAGCCACCTTCAAATAAAATAGTCTGGAAGTTTTGATTTCTTTAGACAAGTGTTTTGAGGAATGTAGTGGGGTGTCTTACCAAAGTGTGTGCAGCTGTTCTTTACCCGGCTGACATGGTGTTCTGCATTTTAGACCAAGTCAGTGTACAGTCCACATGACAAGGAAAGGGAAATCTCCCCTATTCTGTTTTCTGCTCAGCTTAGAGGGAAAAGGGACAGCTTTATTAGTTCCATCTTTAAAGCCCTGACTGTTTTGTATCTCTTTCCCGCTTAGCTTTTGACATAAGCATGTTTTTCATAAAATCCTCAACTCTGTTCATGCAGTCTTTCTCTCTTGCTTCTTTGGGACCAGAGGCCATTATAGTAATGACTTACGTCAATAGAATAAACAATCAGGCATCATCAGTGAAGTCTCAGCTTGAACTGGCCAGTGTCAGAACACCTGACACAGCAGATCTAAAACATCTAGACGCTTGAAGTAAAACCTAGATGGCAAGGAGAGAGAGAGAGCTGTGGATGCAGATAAATGGATAAGTATTGCATGCTCTGGCAGACTTCCTTCTCATCGCTGAAGGGTCTCCCCTTATCCTCCATTCCAAACTTCCAATGTGTTTACATAGGCATACTCGCCCTTGCCAGCTGTTTTCAGCGTGTGATGATCTATCTAAATCTAAGGAACACTTGGCTCTCAGATTACAAAGTCAATTCCGGCATCCATAAGGCCAGTTTCTACAGCCTTCTAGAACAAAAAGTGACACGATTTCAAAAGCACCCCAAAAGGAGTGGGTAGGTGCAAATGAATAAAACACCTTTTTACAGGCAAGTCAGTGGTGGCAGATATTTTATACTTGATATTGGGTTATTGTACTGTAAACACGGGCCTTTTGCCCAGAATCCAATGAATATCCGTTTCATCCTGTTTCTTTGAAGGGGCACTATATTTTGCCCTTGCAGTGTCTTTTGCAGGCTTTCTTCTCTGAGATAGTAATGTAAAGGTCTCATCTTGACATTTTGTCTTCTGAGGTTTGGTTGATACAAATCAATTTTAGTCTTTCGATTAAACTCTCATTTCGTTTTTCTCTTGAGTCTCCTCTTCTTGCCAGAATATGAAGTCTGGTAATGTTTTGTTTTATTAGCGGAAACAAAAGTTTTAAAAAATCGGTTGCATTGAGGGAGTGCTCCCTTTCATGCCAACTCGCATGTCTACTGAGACGCTAATAATCATTGTGCACTTCTACACCTCTCTCCTATTGCGTATGTCTAAAAACCGGTTTGGTCTTGGAATATGGTTACTGGTGTCAGGTTACTATCTCTGGTTCCCTTTGCCGCTCCTTGACTGATTACCGCTCCTCTGTGCCGAACACCGCTTCCAAGGGAGCTAAAAAGCTGTAGCCAAACTGTGATGGAAAGGCAAAATCATTCTGCTCTCCCATGAATTCTGTTCATAGATAGTGGACTCCAATCCAAAACTGGGGTCTTAGCAGACTTGCAGGTCTCTGTAGCTGAGACTAAAACCTACTGACATAACATTTAGTATTGGTCTCGTGAAGGTCTTTCTACCTCTCGGTTAAAACCTACAGTGTTCTGGGATGGGAAGCTCACATGGAACATGCCACAGTCTTTGGTCTACTACCACAACCTCACTTCCCATAAATCAACTTAAAACTCAAGGTGAAGTATGCAATGGCTGCCTCCATTTGCTCCCCCATATCAGAGGTCACAAGATCAGGATTCTGACCCACACCACAGCATGCACGTTGTATCTCGACAGAGAAGGAGAGGCGTGGTCCCACTCCATATGCACAGAATCAGTTAGGCCCTGGAACTGGTGCATACAACATGACATCCACATATCTGCCTTGTACCTACCTGGCGCACACACCCTGCTGCAGATTAACTCATATGACTTTTTCCCTCTCTTACATGAGTGGGAAATAGACTATACAGTCTTATACACAATCTTCCGAACACTGGGCTAGCCCCAATTATACTATTTGCGACATCAACGAACAAAAAAATGCCCTGATTTTTGTTCTGGGGCGGGACTGGGGACCAATTCCCACAGAGATGCTTTTCTGTTCCCATGGACTGGATCCCTCCCACATGCTTTCCTCCCCGATAGCCTTGCTGATCAGGGTAACGCAGAAGATGAAGATGACAGAGCCAATATAATCCTCATAGCGCCTTCATGGCTCAGAAAACTCTGGTACCCATTCCTGACGCGCATGTCCATCAAACTTCTGGTCCTCCTGCTATCCTTTCCCCATTCACACTCTCAATAAAGGGGCCAAATGCTTCATCCCAACCTAGACCACCTTCACCTATGGGTGCAGCTACTCAGTGGTGTTCTCATGTGGAGTTAGAATGCTCAGGGCAGTCCTCTTACACAGCAGGACACTGAGCACCCACAAAACTTAACTACACAAATGCAAGAGGTTCACAACCTGGTGCACAAGGAAGCACATGTTTCCGGCTTGCTCTCCTTTTCCTGCTATTCTAGATTACCTACTAGAACTGTAATTTTTCTATTAGCTCCATCAGATCCATATGCCTGCTATAATTATTTTCCACGACAAGATTGACAACACCGCAGACCTGGCCCACATGATCACTAAAAGATTCAGGAACATCTGTAAAAGTATCATCCCACCCCAGGGATCTACACCTTGTACTCAGCACCCTCACACACACAAACCTATTATCTCCACCTGTCCATGAAAACCACTTTCCTAGCAGCTATTCCTTCCACCAGAAGGGTAGGTGAACTCGAAGCCTTCTTGGTTGACCCTTCTTACACTGCTTTAGAGGCAGTCATGCTCTGCACTCACCCCAAATTCCTCCCCTAAAGAAACTTTCATCTCAAAAAACTCCTCCACTTAGCAATATTTTTTCCCCAAACCACATATGCGTTGGAAGCAACCGTGTATACTTTAAACGTACGAAGAACCCTGTCATTCTACCTGAACAAAACTCAGCCTTTCAGATGCACACCTAGCCTAATTATTCGTCTTCACCATGCAGAGATCACAGAGGCCAACGCCATCTCTTCCCAGAGACTCGCCAATTGCATATGATTATGCTAGCAATGGAAACAAGTCCAGCCTCCTCCAGCTATCAGGGCACACTGCACACGTGCTGCATACTGTTTCCATCTCCACTGTCTTCCTACGCAGTGTAGCCATATTGGACATTTGCAAGGCCTGGCATTCATCCCTCAGATTCACTAAGCATTATGCACTTTTACAAGGGCCAGCAGCGGACACTAGCATGGCCATGGCAGTCTTGTCCACAGCCTTTTTGCCTCATCTGAAGTGCTAATCATCGTAAGAGACATGGCTTCACAGTCAGCAAAAGGGGAGCACCCACAGGGACACCCTTTGAACGAGAAGAGGAGGTTGCTCACCGCCAGTTACTGCACAGTTCTTCAAAATTAGTATCCCTGTGGGTGTTCCTCTACCCATCCTCCTCCCCTCTACTTTGGACAGTATCTCCTTTTGTTGTAGAGAAGGAACTTAGGAGCCCTGAGCCATGCACATGCTATTCAACCAATGACACTTTGAGGGGGTACACCCTGCGTGTGCATGGCCTGGGGGAAAAGGGGAACACTGCTGTAAAATCTCTAATCAAAAGTGCTGGGATGCTCCTTGACCAGAAATGGAGCACCCATGGGGGACACTCATCTCGAAGAACATTTAGTTGCTGCACAGATGAGTAACTTCCTCTTTTTCCTCACTCTAGTGCAGCCGAGGGGCACATTTATTCCTTTGATGTCTTGGTGAAAACATAATAGAATTCAGGAATGGTAAAGCCCAAAGTAGCCTTCAAAATTTGTTCTTGATTAGTTTGCTTGCTGCAGTTGGTTAAGGTTATAGCATTAACTGATTTTTAACTATACAGCTAAACAAACAGCTTTATAGTAATTAAACTCCTATTCCCCTTAGCTGCCAATGATTTGCTGACCCCTGGTGTTGAAGGGAAATGCCAGATCGCTGAAGTTGATCGTGGAGAAATGTGTGCTTGTTCACATGTATCTAGCCCCTGCCATCGTTTGTCTCTTAAATTTTTGCAGGACATTGAAGCGACCATGAACACTGCGTTGAATGAACTGCGGGAGCTGGAAAGGCAAAGCAGCGTAAAGCAAACGCCAGATGTTGTCCTTGACACCCTGGAGCCTTTGAAAACCTCCCCGGTGGTGGCACCCACCTCAGAACCTTCCAGCCCTCTGCATACTCAGATTCTCAAGGACTCTGAACCAGCATTCCAACGGAGCGCCAGCACCGCAGGGGATATCCCGTGCGCCTTCAGGCCAGTGAAGTCCGTCAAAATGGCTGCCCCACTTAAACCGCCAGCAACGAGGCCGAAGCCAGCAGTTTTCCCCAAAACAAATGCCACAAGCCCTGGTGTTGCTTCTTCTGCATCTCAACAGCCTACTGACAAGTCTTGTACTGTCTGAACTAGAAGTCCTACTGGGGATATAATTTTATTGCCTCAAATGAGGGGCCTATGTTAAAGACACATGCAAATTCCTATTTAACCAGTTTCGGACTTTGGCTGAAGGTTAGTTTGCAAGCGGTTACTGCCAGGCGCGCTCCATGGGAGAGAAGACATTGGCGCTAAAGCCTCACAACACGCACCCCATGTAAGCACACCCGGCTTTTGAAATACCGACAGGAAATCAACCATCAGGTCACGGTGAAAGTAGTGAGGCCAACGCAAAGAACTGATGAATTGGTTCTCCGTTTCTGGTTGATGCCTGGATACTGGTTTAGTGACTTATATAGTCCGTGTTTCAATTGCCACAGGGAATCAATACAATAGATTTTAGTGTCCTGCATGTTTTGGTACCACTGGTTGTGGCGCTTGGACATGCCTTTTTCTTGCGCATTATTACATTGCCTGCTGGTGCTGGTGCTGCTGCTGTTGAGGGTCTGTCTTATCCATTACAGCCTTTCTTTTTTCAGTAGCTTTCGCTCTTCTCCACGTCAGGCTGTACCTTTGGTTGAAACTTGTCATGACACATACTCAGCTCTGGAACACAAGTGACATGTTGTGCGTTGGTGCAGTTTGAAATACAACAAACCTATTTCTGAGTAGGAGGAGGGAGAGAAGATAGAGTTGCTGATGATAGCCGCTCTGCAGTGGTTTTGTTTTGGTGCCCCCAGGTTTAAAAGCGGCTTCGTTCTTTTTTTTAAATCAAACTTTCAGGGCGTTAATGCAATTGTGTGCTCTTCAGTGGGAACTTGGGAAGTAGAAGGTAAAAATGAGTTACCTTCTGAACGCCGGCTGCTATGCTCTCACAGGAGTGGCATTTCCTAATGTGATTATAAGATTATTAGTGGGTTCGTACTGAAACCCCAGTTCTGAACATCTCTAAATCTTAAGTGTTCACATTTTGGCCCTGTTTCTGATTAGCAAAGGCTCTGACCACTATGAATTATTGTGGGAACTCTGACATAAGGAGAATGGTGAGAACATCCTCTATAGGAGATTGGCAGTATAGTGTCCAGCTCATAAATTGCTGAAATACACATTTCTGTGATAAATCATCATGTCTCCAAAGACTTTGCAGACAATTGAGTGACTTCTTAGAACATATGTGTAAGATGGACTGTGACTGCTTCAGCTATTAGCAGGCTGTGTTGACTCTTCTGGATTTTCATGGGAATACATTTTCCAGAATGCTGCCATATATTTAATTTTTTTAAGAGCAAAAAGGCACATGTTGTGTTAAGGTGATGAATTTTACAGCCCCACCAGACCGAGGGGTCTTGCAAGTGGCTTTCCATCCTTACCTAGCCCATCATGCCCAAGTATTGCTTGAGTAGGAATAGTCCTACAGTTTATGGTCTCATGTTCTTACTCAAGCAAGTACAACGTAATTAAGGTGATACTTTCCCCACCCTGTTCGAGTTTCATTCTGTAGGCTTAAATCACTTTCACTCTGTTGTTTAGCAGTGTGTGATTTTTTTTTTTTTAAACTTGCATTTTCATCTCTAAGTTGGCCTTAAGCATCCACTTGTAATTCCTTTTAAAAGAGGTTACTTGGATGGACACTGTTTTTAATCTCTTTGAAAAAGAAGATTTTTTTTGTATTCCTGCTCATCTAATAAGGACTGATGTTCTCTGTGTCCTAGATTATAGAGATGTGAGGCGTTCATGGACTACAGGAGAGAGAGAGAGAAACCCCTGGAAAAGATTTGTTGGGACCATTTTAATTGTTTTTCTTAATTAACATTTAACAGCCCTTATCTTTTGGAAACACTGCACTGTTTGTGTTACTTCTGTCAGATTTTAACCTGTCCAGATCAAAGAGAATGAAACTCGAATGCGTGACCACCTCCTTTGTTCTCAGGGTCAAATGGACTCCGTACACCAAGGAATCTCAATCTTTTTGGAAACTAATAATTTTAAACAGCAACTAGTGGTTTATTTTTCACTCAGGCAAAGCTTTTGGGGGAATCATGACTGGCCACAGGGAATGCATGTCGCTACACAGGAAATGAACAGGACAGGGGCTCTTCATAAATTTACTTTGACTCATTGTTTGCAATGCCTTTTTTCTTTTTTTTAAAATCTCATGCTTTGCATTTTATGTTACCAAGGGACAACATCCAGCCATACAGGGCATCTTGGGACAAGATCGTCTGGCTTCAGGATTCACAAAAGATCCTACTGACAAGAGAAATAAGAACTTACAGTGATTTAAAAAATATCCTGTGCAAATGAACTGGAATTTCAGTGTGTGCTGTGATTTGCACTGAAAACATACACCTAGCAACGTGGCAGTCCGAAGCGCATCTTTTTTTCTCTTCCATGTTTTCTGGACCTCTGTAGCTGGCAGGAAGCACATTTTTAAAAAACCCACTTTGTGGCTTGTTTGCCTCTTGCTGTGTACTCTGGAGCAGGGCGATAGTTTGCAATAAAGTGTTGTTACCATTTGTTGGGAGAGGGAGAACTGGAAAAGACTGTGCTCAGTGCATGTCCACTGGGCATTCTACTGAAGAGATCAACATGATATGGATAAATAGAACACTATGTTGGGTGGGGAGGTCTATCTGTTACTTCATATTCAGAAGAAATGTTAGCTCCTCCAGACAGATACAGTTGTGTGGGGGGTGGGGGGTGGGGGGGTGTCAGTGTCACATGAAAGGTTTATCTTTTTAAAGAAAAGAAGCATTGATAACTGGAATAATGTCTGTCTGCTTGGTAATACTCTGTAAGAACGCAAGTCTGTCACTTCTCAAATGATGGATTAAAATAATCCAAAGCAAAACCTTTAAAATAAAATGCAGTTTTAGGTGATTGGTGAATAGTTTCTGCAGCATTAACCTTGTATGTGTCCCATCCCCAGTTGGGAGTTAGGCAATGTGCTTTAATGATGGCTAAATTTCTGTTTCTTTATGGTAATCCAAAGGCTCCTAATTTATGAGCTCTCAAATTAGTCTGTCACAATGAAACATGACCAAAAAGATTTCACTTTCTCTGTACTGGATGTTGGCCTGCAAGGAACACCATTAGATAATTACAGTACACTGTGATGGTGCAAAAATTGTTCTGTCTCTATTTTAATGCCTGTTTGAAAGGAGAGAGTCTTTGGGCTTCCTGTGAAGAATACCTCATATGTTCTCTTTCAACGTCAGTGTGCTTGCACAGTTCTGTGTTCAAATGACAATGTTCTGAAACTTGGAAAATCATAGCACTTAAGAGGTCAGGCAGGAAATTCTATCCCTAGGCAGGAAATTCTATCCCTACACCTTCCCATCTTGTTGTACCTTGGCTATTGCAAATCTTTATCATGAAGATACATGGACCACATCAGGGAGCGCTCTGCAATATGGGAAAAGGATAAGGTTATAAGTAGAGTTTTAGTCTTAACTCTGTTTTATGTGTTGGTCAGAACTTCAACACTGGGTTGAGCATGGAGAGGGCTTTGGGACGTAGGGAGTATCTTCGAGAGAGCACTCTTGCATTTTTCATATGCTTCCCTATAGCAAGCACTTGGCAAATTCTGTATATAGGTATCTACCTGATAGATTGATTTGGCTCTGTCAATTAATGACACATACATTGTAGCTTTTAAAGACAGGCTATTACCCCAGGCAGTGGCATGTTCTAGTAAAGCAGCTAGGGATGGGTAAATACCTATTCAGACAGTTAGTTCAATAGATCTGGGTGCATACTGGGCACTCTGGCCCCAGTCCAGCCAGTCACTGTGCAAGTGCTTAACTGTAAGCATGTGCTGAGTCTCTTTGAAGTTGAGGAGGTGCTTATTTGTTGGGTTGGGCTCTTGTGCACTCAAGGCTTTGTAGGATTGAGCTTTGAAGAGAGCCAAAACAGCAGTGGGAAAAAATGCAAAGAGCCGCACCACAATTGTTGGGGGTGGGGGAGGGAAGCTCCCCACCAGCCAGAGTTGTTGAGCAAAAAAATAAAAAGATGCTGCCCCTTTTTAAAACTACGGGTTAGGCTTTTTAGTCACATCAGGCTTCTGCTGGCTGCCACCATCTTGCTGCTGCCATTTTGTTTTGCCGGATGGCTCCCTTACACCCAGTGAGCCACAGGGTGCCGTTTGTAAGGGTGCATGGGGTAGCTTCTGCAGGGGAGGCTTCACGAGCCTCACTTTCAGGGTTGAAGAGCCATATGTGGCTTCTGAACCACAGGTTGGCCACCCCTGCCATAAGGATTCGCTCCAAAACAACAAGGATGTGCTCCTTAGGCCGTATGCCACCAGCCAGGAAAACTGTTAGGCCCAATGAAAATAACCCTGAAACAGGCAGCGGGGCGCATTCAGAATAGAAACTATTAATGTTCAAAACCGATTGTAACCCGTTCTGTGAAATCTGATGTTGGCTGGACATCCCACAAATGTAGCATTGGTTACCAGGAGGCGGGTAACTTCTGGGAGGGTCTAGTGCAATCAGCAAGATGATTTTAAAAAAAGTTAGAAATAAAGTTCATTCAGTGCTGCATGCTTACTGCCTCTGGGTGAGAGAAGGCAGTAAGCACTAGCAACTCTGCTTTGGTTGCAGCTTGATAGATCACCTTCAAAGGTATTTCCCCCTCCACCTCCTGTCATCTTTCTATGTGGAAACGCCTGTACTGAGAAATTATACTTGACTACCCTCTTGTGCCCACGCAAAAGCAGAAGGAGCCATTATAATCAGTCTGCTGTATAATGCACAAACAACTGGATGTGCATTAGCTGCTTTCAAACCTTCACCTCAGCCTGTTCACCTAGAAATGCCAAAAAGGGGATGGATGGCTTTTTCCAAGCTTCAATCTCTGATTGCATTTCTGCTTATCCAGGGGGAGCCAAACCAGCGGTTTGAAAAAACTGGAAACTGTAGAACATCTCACACTTTAACTGAAATAACCTGGTTCAGAGCAAATGGATTTCCAGTTTTTCCAAAAATGGATCTACAAGAGGAAGTCTCTCCTCTTCTGTGCAAATACTTAACAGGCCACGTCTCAATTCAGGGTAAACATTGAGTGGTTTGCAATGGAAATAAGACGGACCCTTTGTTTTAGCAGCACGGTAATAAGTGGATTTCACCAGCCTTTCTCTAGAGGCAGGGTGCTCTAATCTGCCTACATGGAAGTGGGTGTGGAGTGTGCCAAACTGCTGGAGCAATACTTGTAAGCAACAGGTTCTTTTTAAAAAACCAGCTATGAGCAATGTAGCCAAAATAGGGGAACTGATGAAACTGGCCCTGAGAAATTGAAACTATAGCAGTGCTGTCTTGATTCTACTGTATGTGAGAAAAGTTGATTGCAGAGTCTAGCAATCTTTTTTTTAACCCTAATCCCACAAAGATGGGTTAGGTTTCGTACAGTGCATTGTTCTTTGTTTTTATTAACAGCCGCTGTTTAATGGGTTGGGATGAAATGTTCTTGTTAAAGACGTTTCCACTGTTTCATGTCTTCTACACCGCTATATATATATGGTGTACATATTTACTTTAAAAAAAAACTGTGTAAAATTGTACTTTGTATATACAACTATGTACAATATGGAGGTACATCTTTTTTCTTTTGGTACAGTATTGTACAGTATTAGAGAAGTACATGTGTTGGAATTGGTAAAGCCGTACCGGAAGAAACAATGTATCTGTCATTAGCAATAGTTTGAGAAATAAATGTTTTGGGTATGGTGCAAATGCTGACCTATGGACAACAATAAATTATGGGGGGGAGGGGTATGAGAGTGAAAAAGATGCTGTTGTCTGGACCGGCAAGGAGGAGTGGGAGGTGGGTGAGGTTGGCTGGGAGTGCTGTACAGCCTTTTGGACAATTTCAAATTTTCGTTGGATTCAAAATTAATTGACAAGATGCCTAGCAAGATGAAGTTGCTGAAGACAGTTGACAAGGCTTCCGTGGGAGTTCTTCCCATCCACAGCTCACAAAGGGCCACACCAGGGTGAGTAAGCAGCAGCTTCCATACTTTCGAGGGGGGGGGGGGGGGGGACGACAAACGGGGGGAAAGAAGCAGCACAGGCAGGTGGAATGACTTGCTCTAAGGAATGGTTGTAAAGCCCCAAATAGTTCCTCCCATTTCAGTGCTCTTGCCATTGGATCTCACGGCCTCACACATGCAGCTGGAAACATAAGAAAATGCAGCCTACGGCCTTTTCTCCTTACATCCATACTACGATGCTCACACAATAAACCTGTCCTTGTCCAATCCTCCCTCCATGCATGTCGAGTGGAGCATGAATTACTGTTTAACAGGTGGTGGGCAACCTGCTACTTGAGGACCATGTGTGGCCCATTAGCGTTCAGTGTGCAGTTCCGGAGACGTTTTCTTCACCATTGTCCAAAGGCAGGGTTGCCGGTTTCTGTCCGTGTATTTTTTTTCCTACCCATGTTACTCAAGTGACACATGCATGAAGCAAGGCGTGTGCCAATTGCACACAGCCTTGATTGGATGCAGAGGGAGTAAACAGTCAAAGCGCTGCTATGGTTCAATCGGCACACTCCGCAGATCATCCGTGCGCAGGCGCTGTTAGCAAAACTAGCCTATCCTGGGAGACTGTCTTGGTTAGGACAATCTTGCTGCCCACTTGCTTGTGCAGCCCACTCACTAGCCTCTGTCTCCCGTTGCTGCTCAGTGGTTTGAGCATTGGCCTGCTAAACCCAGGGTTGTGAGTTGAATCCTTGAGGGAGTTATTTAGGGATCTGGGGCAAATCTGTCAGGGATGGTACTTGGTCCTGCTGTGAGGGCAGGGGACTGGACTCAAATGACTTCTCAAGGTCCCTTTCAGTTCTATGAGAGGGTATATCGCCATAATACAATGTCTTGAGGGACTAGAGAGTCTGCTGATCTCTAGACCACTGCAAGCTGAGAGAACACCACATTTCAAACATGGGCAAAGCAATAAATCTGTGCTTGGCAGGCCACTGACTGTAGGCATCAGTCTTCGGTGCACAGCTGTGACTCAGTCCCTAGTCCAGCCAGCTGTGAAGGAACTGAGATGTCTGTCTGCATGAGGGAGGTGGCTGTGGAAGAGGAAACTGTCAAGGAGGGTTGGGAATGCTTTGTGCATGTCTGCGGATTATGCTTTGTGCCACAAGAAGCCTGCAGTGATGTTGCTGTCAGTGTAATCGCTCTACAGGAACGGACAGGAGAGCGAACACTTGGAGAGGTTACTGCAGGGCAGGATGGGGTGGCAGGAATGTTATTTCTACTGTCTGTTATTTCTACTGTCTGTCTTCATAGCACCCCTCAGAGCAGACTCAGTGGCATTGAATTCTGCTTATAAGATCTCCCATGCTACGTGTGTGTAGGGCCTGCTGGTTTGAGGTGTGCCATACGGGATGGTGGTTACTGACTGCTGCTGGTCTGCAGTGCATGTGGTGCCTTTTTATTGATACGTGATAGAGCGAAGCTGATTAACCACCAAATTCTGATCTCCCGGATTTTAATGGAACCAGGATGTGTCCTTCAGATTGCTGGCGGATGTTCCTGTTCATCTCCCAACGAGAGGCAAATATTGCAGGGCAGAATAATTTTGATCCAAAAATGCAAATGAAGATGCAAACGATGTGTGACCTTCAGGCTCGATGCCAGTGGCACTCAGCTTTGCAAAGTTTAGGCACTTGTGTACATTTTCAAGAGGCTTGAGTGTACTGCTAGGAGCCAAATCTCCATTCCTGTTTCCTGTTCTGCCGCTGTAGTATGGACCTATAGAGCCGTATCTGGTTTTCGATGTACACAACCTCAAATTCAACGCTGCATCCTTTAAAAAGGGGGAAAAAATCTGAGCTTCGCGGGTTCAAAATCCCAGTTGCAATTGATTTATCAAGGGACTGTCTCACAGCAAAATGTGATACCTGCCTCTGGAATTTCCACTACATGCATCTGACGAAGTGGGTCTTTGCCCACGAAAGCTTATGCTCCAGTAAATCTGTTAGTCTATAAGATGCCACAGGACTCGTTGTTGCTTCTGCAGATTCAGACTAACATGGCTACCCCTCTGATACATAGCAAAGTGTTTCTTGCTGTCACATAATGTTCCCATGGGCCAGATTTCCAAAAGATTTTTGGTTCCTGGGTAGGCACCAAAAATAAATGGCCATATATTTTCAGATGGCTGAATATGTTGGCGCCTTCGGGTGCTTGGTCAGACTTACATAACCACTCAGGGCTATTTCACTGAGCACTTGAGAAAATCTCACCCTTATTTCACTGCCTGACAGGGAATTGAATTTTTCTGGAAATCTGGCCACAGATGTTGGGTGCTATGGACTTGACTGTCTGGCCCTACAAGTAGTGTTATACTCAGAGAATCTAAGCAATGGACCTTGCTCTTCCTCCGTCTAGGAGTCTCTCCCTCAGGTGCACTTGCAGATGATGCTGGGAGCATTGGAGCCACAATTCCAATGGGAACAATTGTAGAGGGAAGTTTAGAGCAGATATTTCTAAAAGACTGAGCCAGCTCTCCCCTCCTTCATGAGGGGAGAACCCGGTAGTAAATTGCCTCTCCTGTGCTCTGCCCCTCCCTCCCCCATCCTCGTTGATGGCTGAAGGACTTGATGGTAGGATCAGGCTTTGGTCCCCACTCTCTGTAACTGTTGTTGTCAGAAGGGGATGATGGTAGAATGGGGATTGAGAACACCCATCCTAGAGAACAATGTATGACTCTTCAAACAGGTTTTTGGAGGTTGATCATGAGCGTCAGGGCCGTCCTTCCCCCTACGCAGAATATGCAGTTACGTAGGACACAAGAAAATGTGGGGCACCACTGGATCTGTCCACCCACCCAACCTCTTCCCAGCCCTGTTCCATGGCTCTGCTTCCTCCAGAGACGAACTTGTTAGCTTAAAAGTGACACAGCCTGCCAGAGTGATTAGCAGAACACGGAACCTATCTAATGAAGCCATTTAACAGGCATTTACCAACCCCAGGTACATAGGGTCAGTTTCTGAATTTACTATGTCAGTCGACGGGACCTGAGTTTTAAAGTGGCTTTAAAATAATATGTCGGTGTGTTGCTGAAGATTATAAAATCACGTCTCTACAAAATTGTCATGGCCCCCTTCCCTCAGGAGGTCATCTGGCATAGAGGCACCAGTTTAATAGTTCTGCATAGGGGCCCGAGCAACATAGAATCTGAGTGCCTAACGCAGTACAGCATGCACAGCGCACTGTATCGAACCCATCGTGGAAAAAGCTGATTCCCCGCAACTCCTAAGATGTCTTGGTTCCAGTGAGCTGGCACATTTCCAACCTTGATATCTCAAATCCATCCGCCACACCTCCCATTGGGGCTGTTTCCTAGCTCTGCTGCCCTTGAGCTCGAACACAGGGAGGAATTTTATTAGTTAATGGACACCCAGGCTGCTCATGTGTTTGTAGCTCCCATCCAGTTTAGATTAGACACACCTGTCTGGTTTCAAACAGGATTTGATGGAGCATGAACTCCTCCTGCCATGGGCTGATTAAAAAATGCTTAATTTTGCTGCCATTTCCATGGAAAGGGGGCTTTCTGGGGAAGGGAGGCTAGCCATGTGGATAGTGAGTTGGAGTTTCTTATTTTTTCAGTGTTTTGATAGGGTCCCATCTTCCCTCCTCCCCATCTGGCTTTTGTAATTATGGGTGAAACATCCTCTTTTGTTAGGTCCCAAATAATTATTTACCAGAGGATTTGGTGTGCAGTGGGGAGAGTGTTAAGTGTTTCAGCATGACACAAAGTAGTTTAGTTTGTCAGCTAGCTAGTTACAGCTAGCCAGGGACAGTCGTGTGCTGAACTCCCATCAGCTCCTAAAACTAGAGGTGGGCCTGGGGAGGGTGGAACTTGTACTTCAGTTGGTGTTGCCATCCCATAATGCTTCTCTCTAATGCAGCCAGTGTCTGGGCAGGAGGTTCGAGAAGCTGGGAATTTTTCTCCATTGCCTTACAGGTCAGTCCGAATGGAATCCCCGTACACCCGACTGGACACCCACAAAGCAATAATTGTATCCTGGGACGTCTGCTTCCTTTGTGTCTCCTGGGACGTCTGCTTCCTTTGTGTCTCTCTTCTTACGGTAAGGAATGGCTTCTCTGACATGGCTGGAAATGCTGACTGTGTCTCAGGAGTACAAGGTGGAAAGGAAAATAGTGCCTGGTTTGAGAGAACTCAATTGAGGGATGTTCTCATCTTGACTCTGTCATCTGATCAGCTTGCTTTCCCTTCACGGTTCTGTCATGCTTTTGCTGAGCCAGTAGAACCACAGCGGGTCTATATCCTATGCCAGCCTGTGGAAAGACCTAAATGTTCTGTGTGCCTACAGAAGGAAGTAGGAGCATTCCATGCTCCTGTGGGAGTCACCTGAATGTTGGCCCAGAGTGTAGGAATAAGTGTGACTGCGCCTCCTATGAGCGACTGGGTGGAGAAAGGGCAGAGCCTGGTTTCTACCCCTTCTACTCATTAGCTATTGTAGCCCAGCCAGGTCAGTAAAAAATTAGAATCGTCCAGGAGCGAGGTGACAGGAGAGCAGTGCTAGGGAGGGACTGGGCTGGTGGAACGAGATGGTAGGCAGTGGACAGCAGAATTCTCCCAGGGCACACAGACTGTACAACAGTTGTGTTGTCCTGTGGGGCCCATCCCACAAGGGCTGTTCCAGGATACAGCTGGGATAGGGCAGACCCATAGCATCTAGTACTACAGGACTATGGAGCACTGCTGTTGCCACAACCAGCCGGAGTCAGATGCCAAAGGTACTGTAGGGTCATGTTGGCCGCTGGAGGATCCGATTTTTGGAATCTTTGTTGCCATTTCTTCAAGGCTCGGAGTACAATGAGAGCCTCACTCATGGACACCACACACCAGCCCCAGGAGAAATGTGAATGGCAAACATGTTGTAGGGATTACCAGCGAATGTACCTACCTCCCTGGCAAGCCATTTTTATCTCTTTCCCAGGAGGCTGCTTAGGACACTGAGAGTCTCACATTTGCAAATGGGTTTAGTATGGTTACAGGTAACTCCCAAGGTGACTCTTGACTGTCTCTCTGCTTACGTCATTTTCCCTCCAGTTTGTTTGGTGTGTTTTTCCGCATGGGCCCATGAGGGGGAATGGTTATTCTTTGCCTTGCATAGAATCAAAGAACAGTAGAACTAGAAGGGACCTCGAGAGGTCGTCAAGTCCAGTTCCCTGCCCTCACGTCAGGACCAAGCACCATCTAGGTCATCCCTGACAGGTGTCTGTCTAACCTGCTCTTAAATCTCTCCAGAGATGGAGATTCCACAACCTCCCTAGGCAGCTTATTCCAGTGTTTAACCACCCTGACAGGCGGGAAGTTTTTCCTAATGTCCAACCTAAACCTCCCTTGCTGCAGTTTAAGCCCATTGCTTCTTGTCCTGTCCTCAGAGACCAAAGAGAACAATCCCCCACACACACACCTTGTGACACCCTTTTACGTACCTGATAACTGCTCTCATGTCCCCTCAGTCTTCTCCTTTCCAAACTAAACAAGCCCAATTCTTTCAGCCTTCCTTCATAGGTCATGTTCTCAGGCCTTTAATCATTCTTGTTGTTCTTCTCCGGACCTTCTCTGTGTTGTCACTAACATCAGGGGTGGATAAAGCTGGTGCTAAAATCTCTGCCCCTGGCCCACATTGCAAGAGATTCAAATGCTACCCAGCAGATTAGCAGGGCGCCCACAGTTAGGTTTTGTTTCTACTGGTGGTGCACCTTCACACACACCTGGATGCACATAAAATTTATTCCGCACGTGGATGGAAAAGGTTAGAGAGCATTGCCTGCAAATCCTCCATTGCCCTCTGTCGAAGAGCCCCTGTGATATACTTGGCCTTCCAAGGCACACAGAGCTGGGACCGCATTCCCCAGAGGTTTCATCTTGGCAGCGGAAGCCTGGGCTTTTAACGAAATCAGGCTCCTCGCTGTTCAAGTCCTCGTCAATAAATCAACAGGCTGATTGGATTGAACATCCCTTTCATTTTTGTGAATCTTCAATTAGTCGCCATTGATTTCCAGGGGGCTCAGGTGGCTGCCGGCGTGAGCCCTTTTTGAGCCTCTAGTGGCAAGCAGCAAGCTAACGGAGACGCAAATAACAACGATTTTTGTTTTTTTCCCCATTAGGGCTGCTGCTGTCGGAGGACGTTGGCACAGAGGCTGCAATCTCTTAAAACCTTTTAATCAAATCATTTATCGCAGGTGGGGTATCTGCAGGGTTGGAACCGTTCCTTTCCGCTCCCAAAGCACAGTGTGATCTCACGTTTCGAAAGGAAAAGTTAAATGCATTGTTAAATTAGAAAAGGTTGCAAGTGACAGGCCTGGTGGGAGAACGAGCCAAGCTGGAAAGCTAAGAGGTGACTAAGTGGGGGAGGCTCCAGACCCCCTGTGGAAAGAGTTTCTTTATTGAGCTGCAAAAGGGTGTGATCCCTCAGAACCGTGGGAAGATACAGACCTTTCAGCATGGCCCCCCCTACACTGTCATGAGCCCCCTACACTTCCGTAGGCGTAGCACCTTATTGCATGGGCAGTGGGTGAAGACCCAGCTGGGGAAAGCAAGCTGGAGCCCTGCCCCTTCCACCGGAAGCCACACCCCTTCCCCTAAGACCATGCCCCTTCAATAACCTCCCCTCTCCCCAGCCAAGCCTTGCCAACCCCAGCTGAGGGCCCTAGCCTTCCCTGCCTCTGGGGACCTGAACAGCCCAGCTTCTCCTGGGCAGCGTAGGCAGTTTTGGGAAGGCAATGCCTCCCCTTGCCTACATTACCTGCCACCCCTGCCTTTGTCTCCTCATCTGGTGAAGTGGGTTTTGCCCACGGGAGTGCATGATACTCTATACGTGTATGTTAGTCTCATCGGTGCCACACGACTACTTGCTTTTAAAGTTACAGACTAACATGGCTCCCCCTCGGAGCAGCCCCATGAAATCAGTGGGCTGGTACCACTGTCACAGGGGCAGGTACTGGAGTGCAGCCCCCTGCCTCTCTGCTGAGACGAGCTCCTTGAAAGCCAGCTGCAGCAACCTCCCGGCAGACGTACCTGAGCTGGGGTGGGCGTTGTAACCTTCAGTTCTGTGAGATTCTCTCCCTTCGGTGTCCTTTGACTGTTACAGCAGAGGTTACCAGGGATCCCCAACTGGAGAGCTGCGTGTGGGGGGACCCCAGCCTTGGAGGTGAGCTGAGAGCGGGTGGACGAGGGCTCGTGTCCCTAGTATGGAGATTCACTGTCCATTTGCTGGGATGGGCTCGAGCACAGTCCTGGCTCTTGGGGATTCTAATTCCAGCTCTGCCGCTGACAGTCAACCTGAGACCTTGGGTAACTCGCGTCCCCCCTCTGTGCCATGGTTGCCCATCTCTGAGGCGACGCGCTTCCCTTCGGTGCTGTCAGGAGGGGACTCAGCCAGTGTGAATGAAGAACGTTCGGGGTGGAGCGAGCCGATGAAGGCTGAGTGGTGTCCCGCAGTTGGCTGCTCCTAAGGAGGTGAATGCTCCCAAAGGGGCTAGTAGCAAGACCCTAAATTTGTGGTGGGAAGAGCAGACTCGTGTCTCAGAGTTCAGTGCTGGCTGCCGATGGGGCAGGACCCGGGGGGCAATTTCTGAGGCCCCTGCAGGATGCTCCGAGCATGAGAAGTGAGACCCAGTAAGAGATTCGGCCTGTCACAGGCTACTCAGGAGTCCGGCAGGTGGCAAAGTCTCGCTTGGCCCCTCTGTGTACGATTCCTCTACGAGGTTTTCCCACCAACAAGCATCCCGCTGGATGTTGGGTTTCATCTACCTCGTCGGCCTGTCTAAAGGCTCATGGGTGTCCCCTCCAAGGGCCAGGACTGGGGGGCTGTGGTAGATGTAGCTGGGGGAGGTGTGGCCGCCGGCTGAGCCCTTGCCCCGTGTGAGGGCAGGGCAGAGAAGTGGCCCTGACCTTGGCATGCGTGTGGTGTTGCGCCAGGGAGGGCTGCCTAGTCTGAATGGCGTAAGCCAGACCCTGAGGGGAGGTGGGTTCTGCACCCATCAGTCTCCTCACGGGAGGTGGATGGGCGCTATGGGGAAGATGTGCCTGTGTGTGTACAGGTGGGGTGTGGATCGCAGGCCTCAGGCCTGGCTGTGTTCCCAGATCCAGAGAAGGCAGTGGGAGCCCACGCCCGCCTGCCTTGCTCCAGTTTTTATTTGTGAAGCTCTACTGCCCCCTTGTGAGTGTCTCTTCCACCAGCAATCCCGGTACAGGGAGACGGTAGAACTACAAACCCCTCCAGGAGAGGTTGTGCGTAACTCTGAAATAGTCGCCACTCTGAGCAAAGCATTGTGGACAATGGAATGTCGCTGTCGCACAACTCTGAAGTTTTATTAAGTAAAAGAAAAATGCTGCTTTCCTGTTATTGTTTTATTAGTTGGCATTAGACATGGTATTGTTCTGTGTTTTGAGGGTGCGGTGGGGGGGGGGGGGGGGTGTCTCTTCTGCCTGATTGCACACTTCCAATCCTAAATACAGGGTCAGTTTGTAACCTGGCATATGAGATGGGCTGTTACAAAAGAGGACAGTGATCAATTATTCTCCATGTCCAGTGGAGTGGGACAAAAAGTCATGGGCTTAATCTGCAGCCAAGCCAATTGAAAGTGGTTATTAGGAAAAGCTTTCCCATAGTTAAGCTCTGGGATAGGTTTCAAAGGAAGGGAGTGGCATTTCCGTTATGGGAGGACTTTAAAAACAGATGGGACACCTGTCAGGTAGGGGATAAGTATACTTGGTCCTATCTCAGTTCAGGGGACTGCACTTGATAAGGTCTCGAGGCCCAACATTTTCTGTGTTCCCTCCCCCCCATTCCTTTCTGATGAAAGGTCTGCCATTGTTTCTGATCAATCGAAGGAAGTGAACATCTGGTTCCGATTTGATGCAGGATGCGGCACTGTAATGCGAGTGGAGGGCTACATGACATTAAAAGCAGTGTAAGTTAAGCAGACAGCCGGTGCAGAGATGCAGGAAGATTGGCTTTAGCTCTACACTTCCCCAGAGCTTAAAGAGAGCTGGATCCAGCCTGTGGGGATATCTCTGAAAGATCAGCACTGGATCCAAACATGAGTGGTTAGCTCTCTCAGCAGTTCTGAACAAGATCTGAGAGTCACTCTGCCAGGCACTGCACAGAATGCCAATGTTCCCTCCAACTTTTTCCATCCATGTGCAGAATACATTTTCTAATATGCACTGAGGCATGTGCAGATGTGCACCACCAGTAGAAACACAGCTATGGGCGTGCTGCTAATCACAGTTGAATCTTTTGCACGACTGCCCAAGTGTTCAGCTTACAAGGAACACTGGAGTGTGCCCCGCAGAGCTTACAATCTAATTGTAACTTGCCAAGAGCTTATGGGATTTGACATCTGAAGTTGTAGTTTGGGGGCACTCTGATTGAAGGGGGAGGGGTATTTGTTCCTCTGCCTAGAAAGAGTTGTGTTTTAAAAAGAAAAAGGAATTGTAGCATGACCTGAAAATAGGCTGGCTTTTTGCTGCTACCAAAGACCTTTTAATTGCTTCCTTCCTCTATCTTATCTCCACCTTCCGTTGAAATCCACAGAGCTCTAACGAAAGCCGAGGTACTGTAGATAAGTCAGAGGACTCTAAACGCACTTGATTTTTGAGCACTCTGACTTGAAAGGTGGCAGTTCTGATTGCTCCTCCGAGTTGTGGGCTCGGGTCACATGATGGAGCCTGGAATTGAACTGGAACAGGGGGGCCTCTGTTCATTGAGCATGTTTGGTGTTTAGGTTCACCCCGGGTGATCCGAGAGAGGAATACCTTGTGTATGAAGTTGGCTCCTTCACTAGTGTGTGGTGGTTATGGGGAACCTGCAAGACAGTAAAAGAAAAGCTGATCCCGTGATTAAAGCTTGAGAGAGAGGGTGTCAGATCTGGCATTTACATATTGATAGTGGCATGGAATACTCTGCCATTATGCAAGGCCCTCTGGGTAGCTTGCAAATAAACTTTTGTGTTAGCGCCTTAACAGATACACTGTCCCTGGAAGCTGAATGCAGGAGCAGCAGTCGGCAATTCTGGGGTGGGTGTTGCAAATACGCATGTGCATGAAACACTGTATTCTAATTGGGTTAATATCGCTATGCCTTGGGGCAAAGCTGCATGAGCAAATTGCTGGGTACTGCACTGGGAATTTCCCTTCTGACTTTTTACTGGCAGAAGCCTCTTCCTTGTGCTAACTGTGCTTATTTATACACTCTCTGTGCAAAGCCACGAGAACAAACTGCAAACTTCTTTCTTCATGGATAACGCTTTCTTCAAGTGCTTTGTCCGCTATGAATGAATGGAAATGGAGCAGTCCGGCCAGTGTGTACCATGCATATTCAGTTTCAGAAGTGGAGTAAATTTAAAATTGGCTTCTGAAATCAGTCTGGGGGCTTTAGTTGAAATTGGTATGACCTGCAGATTTGTATTAAATTATGTCAGTGGTGTAGATGAAATAAATATCTGACTTGCAGTGGGGGCAAATAATGCCTGTTGATACAGGCAGTCCCCGAGTTACGTGGATCCGACTTATGTCGGATCCGCAGTTACGAACGGGGATTTTCTTGCCCCGGAGGACTGGAGCGGCGGGACACCTGGTCCCGCCGCCCGCCTCCTCCGGGGCGAGAAAAGCTGCTCCCCCTCTCCCCGGTCTGCTGCGGGAGCCAGCAGACCAGGGAGACGGGGGGGCA